TTCGTTGGCTTACCAAAGGATTTCTACAGTAAAAATGTGATGTCCCCAGATTCCCTTCCGAATATTAGCCGCTGTAGAAGAAGCTTGAAGAGTGTGGGTTCGTTTGTTTGCTTTGTTTTGTTTTCCTGTTTGTATCCCTTAAGGCGGACTTCCACTTTCGCGTTATTTTTATACCTGCGTAAAAATAATAGAAGAAGTATATAAAAGTTCGCGCGTACTTGCTCAACTTTTATGTTCACGCGCCTCTATTTCATTTACGCGCGTAAATTTTTAGCGAGTACGCACCTAAAAATTACGCGATAGTGGAAATCCACAATACGGATACAGCTTATCTAAACCTTTTCAGAAAGCATTTATTTCTCGTGTCTCAAAAGATAGGAATGCTCACAACATCAAAGCGTCGGTCTTGCTGAAGAAATTGTCTTTCAGCTTATTCACTTCAAACCCTGCATGAGGGCAAGGTTAGGTTACTACTAGCCTGTGAGCAAGCTTTCCGGGCGTACCCCAAAGCTACTAAGCAGCACTATTGCTGTTTATTAAGCTGTACGAGATTGCTTTAACTTTTGATTGCGGTATGGAAACAATCCTAAGTTTGACCGTATAGAAATGAAACTCACGTTATTGTTTTATTGTATTGCTTAGGTAATACGTATGTTGGAAGAAGAAAACAAACGACTTGAAAGACCTGAAGCTTGTCCAGAACACACCTATTCACTTATGTTGCAGTGCTGGGATTTAAAACCAGAAAGAAGACCCACATTTGAAGCATTACACAACATTTTTAGTACGAATCCTTTTTATGCAGATGTTAAACTACCGATAAAAGATAGAGGTGCAAGCTAATCAAACTAAAACAGTAATCGTTTGATTGCAAACAGCCCCTCTTTCTTATTGCCTGTTTGCACGGCGATTTTTGCCGCGAGTTTTCATGATATGGTCGCATCTGTAAATTAAGGGCGACTTAATGGCGATTTGTCGACGCATAAACTTATTGCATCCAACCCTCATCGAATTTTGATTCAATTTTTTTTGGCGATGTTCCATTTACGTAAGGTGCGCTTTAAGGTAACTACTGCATGAAGATTAGAAAATCACAATAAAAGCGCCAAAAACGCGCTGTCAAGTCGCCGGGAAATTGCAGCAGAAATCGCCGGAAAATCTTCTGTGAAAACGGGCCTTCAGAGCGGTTTTCACTGGAGTGTCAAAAAAATCTCTATTTCGCGCGACCTTTTCAACCAGTCAGAATCAAGGCCAAACCACTCGTGACTTTTACGCGCGCTTGACGCAGGTTGCCGGCTGCGAATATATTTGCTTCCAGCTCTGATTGGTTAAGGATTGTCAGCTCAGTTCTTGATTGGCTAGAGTAATGTGTTTCCTTGGATAAGCGACACTCCCGTGAAAATCGTTCTTAATAGTACGCGCACGTAAGTAGTCTGGCTGGCCGGGGATGCGGCAGAGACGAAAGAGGGGGCTTTTTTGCGGTCCTAGTAAAGAGACCCTTGGAATCCCGTGTTATTAGAGTAGACGCTTTGTAAACGAGGAGAAAGGGTTAGACTGATACAAAAAGCTGCCCACCTACCCCTCCCTTAAGCCAACATTTTGCCTTAACTGGGAAGTAAGTGTTAACGTTGGCTTAGGGGAGGGTGTGTGGGTAGTTTCCCAGAAACGTTTAATGCCAAAAACGCATTCTCTCCTTTTCAAATGTGCAGTTGTTTTGACCGAGAGATAATGAGCTCATTCTCTCTTGTTTTGGCCTGGTGTCTTTTTAAGTGTATACAACTTTCGATAAGTTGCGATGTTTCTTTTTTTCGCGTAGGAACGTGTTCTAAAAGTGTCTAAAATGGCAAAAAGTTTTACGAAGTTTATTTTTGGTGTAATTTAGTGACTGTAAATATCGAATCGCGTGCAGTGCATGAAAACATCTAAAAGAGTGCGACAAAAATCATTGTTGCATTAGTTGTTTGCGTTGTTTTTATCTTTGTTTTTACACAAATCATAGATTTGTTATGGCCATCGCGAAAATGTAGTAGTGTAAAAATAGAGACCTTGAGATTGTAAGACGAGGACGACTAGGAGAACGATATTTTTCAATACTAAGTAATACACTTGTGTAAACCAGTGTCATGTCAAAATTGTCAGGAAAAGGCGATATAGCCACGCCCATTCTAGCTACTACTGGTTTTAGCGAAAATGTCGTACTGGGGGAAACAGGTTTTCAAATGTTAGAAGTTTTATTATTTTGCGATCGGGAGAAGGCCTAACCTCCTTCAATAAAAATAGCCGCGTTGACTTTTCCGGCGGGAAAAGGTAAAATGAAGCTTCCCAGGGTGTCTATTTTTGAGAATACGCGCATAGATAAATTAAATATCGTACTCGAAGTCGTCCTGTACTCGAATCTTCTAGACTGTGTGTAGCGAGTGGTATCTTCTCAGCGTGTTTTTTTTTCTCGTGCGCGGTAGACTGGACACGTCTGTGAGGCCTTTAATACGTGATCACACGTTGACCGCGGACAAACGAGGGAAATTTACAAACTAAGCAAAGTACTTTACGGCTAAGATGCCATTCTTTAAAGATAATACCAATACACTGTCAATCAGCGAGGCGTTTTGAAATTTTGCTAAAAAATAGTTCCAAGCGATAGGCTTGATGTACTTTATAATTTTTAGAAGGCGCTTGTTTAAACTATGAAAAAGAAGTCTGGTATAATTCATTTCCGCACACGCTTACTATTTACACGACAATAGAATCCGGGTATAAGACTGTTGATAAAGCGGTCTTTTGTACTTTCTTATAGTTTACTTACAGTAGAAACTTTGCTTCACATTGCCTCTTCCAACAACTAAGAGAGGCCTTCAGATTCTCGGACGAGGACGACCAGGAGAACGATATTTTCTCAATACTTAGTGGAGCACGCGCTTGAACCAGCGTAATTTTTGCGGACAAACGTGATAGCCATCGTAATTCTACAACGGGTTTTGGCGAGAATTTCGTAGTGGCGGAAACAAGTTTATATCGGGAGAGGTCTTAACTTCGTTTAATGAAAATAACCATGTTAACATTTCTGGTGGGAAAAAAATAAATAAATAAAGTGAAGCTTTCCGGGTTATTATTTATATGCAAGGCAGGTTGTCCTCTTCCTCGATTCTAAAGGTCTCTATTGTGTACCTTATACCAGTTTGGGGGTCCTGTGGCTTAAGCACAGGACACCATATTTCGGCGCAAATCGCGCCAGAGTGTACGAGCTTCGTAGCAGATTGCGCTGATGCGTTTTGCTTTTGCTAGCGTACTTATATTTGGTTCACGTTTCTTAGCGTAAGATAAATAGCTTAGAAGAAGAAAAAATGTTGGAATTTGATAATGAAATTCTCCAAAAATTTTTGTGGTGCGTGGTCATCATCTATTTAGGTAGGGTATTAAAATATTGAAAATTCTTTATATTCCCTCAATGAAAATTAAAAATAGAGTTATTTGATAATTGAGTTTGAAAATGTGTTTAAAAATCTGGATTAAGTTTATCTAAATAGAGCAGGTGAGCCCATGACTAGCAGGAACCCATAATGGGGAGAGAGCAACTTCCGTCTACTCTTGTCACAGTGTACTCACCGACCAGTTTATTTTTAGAACGGTTCTGGCGTGAATTTAGGAAATCTTTTTAAGCCCAACAAACCAGTCAGCGAGACCTACAGGCTTGAAAATGATATATATATATATATATTTTTTAATGATGTCTAATTTTCTTTGCGCTCGTAGTCAGAACGGAGCGTCCGTTTGTGCGGGAAACTGCTCTATAATGTGCTTAAAAATAAAATAAACAAGTCTGTGGTCATGGGCTCATGCTTACCCTCACTACGAGTAACTGATTCAACGAACTTATTATATCACTTGCACACCGCTTGGAGGCCTTGGAATGATTATATGACGTAAGGAGAATGCCTCTTCCCATTTGGATTCCTATTAAAAATGTTGAGGCTGCGCGTGAGACTCAATCTCGACCCAGAGCTCTTCTGCGTATGTAGAGGAGAGAGATCATTCCCAAACCCGGAAGCACTGTTGTCTCGAATTGCACTGTGGGACTGTTTTTGACCCATTTTCCAGCGCAACCTCGTTAACAGCCAATAAAAAGAGCGACGCATCCCATAGTGCAGTTCGACTCAATACCAACCCAGTCCCACGCACAACTTCAAACTGACCTAGTGAGAGAATCCAGCTTTGATCTACAATTGTCATTTGATTTAACCCGTTCTATTTCCAAATGTCTTCGTCCAATAGCCTCTCCCTTAAAAAAGAGGAAACAACAACTCCCAATTTATTGTTGGAACGATTCTGACCGTTAGAGTTTCTTACTGATCACAGTTTACACTGAAGACTTCTACAATCAAACAAAACAGCCTTATGTTTACTTAGTGCTGATGTATTTAGCGCCAAGTACTACGACCCCTCAGTGTCGTGTAGATGTCTCACAAAGTTAATTTTCACGTAGTACGATCAGCTTTGCAGAATTCAGTGTGTCTACTAATTGGGGACATTTTTGACTATCCCTTCCTGAGGCGTAACCGCCTGCCTCCATGGCCGGTCTTTCGCGCTCCACGCCGGCCGTTGCTCACCTTTAAAAAAAAAAACCTGTTCTGTGACCTAATCCTATCCGAGCCAAGTTCTAAGCATTTGTAGGACAAGGCAGTTGTCCAGGTGGCACCATCATTTCAAGGAGTCACCCGCAGGAGAAGGTTATATGTGCCCAGTATTGGGGAGAACACTTCAAAAGGCGCTGAAGAACGAATTGAATTTCTACAATAAAATCTGCCACTCGGCATAGAATATGAGGCAAAGCTTGGGCTGACAATGACCTCTGAGATTTGAGGGAAAGGTAGTTTGCACCCGTTTGTAACACAAAGAGATTGGCGTGACGGGATTGCGTGACTAGATGCTCTAACTTCACCCCTCCCCTGAAGTTTCTCTCATAGACTTGCGCAGTGCGTGGTAGGCTGGCAGAGCAGACATCCATGATGGCTTCTGTAAAGAAAAAGCAAGATGAAAAGAACTTAAAACTTCTCAGAGATCTCGCGGCCTTACCCCACAACAAAAAATGCTTCGACTGTGGGCAAAGGGGGCCAACATATGTGAATACCACAATAGGATCTTTTGTCTGTACCTCGTGCAGCGGCATTTTGTGAGTAGAGATGGCGTTAAGCTAGCAAGGTTTTTACGCCAATTTGACTCCAGCGCGCGATTAGTTTGCAGCTGTACGGTAAACACTCATTTCCTGTTCTTGTTTTTTCATTTTTTTACAGACGAGGATTAAACCCTCCACATCGAGTCAAATCAATTTCAATGACAAGCTTTACACCACAAGAAATAGAAAGTTTACAAGGCCAAGGAAATGAGGTACGCGCGACTTCACGCTTACTGCCTTTTCTTTCATTGTACAAGTTTGACAAGTTTTATATGTCTGAATTATCCTTGAATTTCTTTCCTTATGAGACATTGGATAAATTGACAACATTTGCGCTCCTTTCAACGCGTACAACTCAGCTTTAACATTATATTGATGCAAGTTCCGTTATGGGAGCACGATGTAACACCCCTAGCGTATTTTTGGCTGCATTTTACGTTCAATTTGACCAATATTTGCAGGTCGATTTGCGGTAAAAATGTAAACTAACTAGCTGGAGTCCTTATATTCCATAAGACAACTTAAACTCTAGAAATTAAAAACTGTTTGCCCACAAAAAATTAAAAATTTTACAATCGCTGCATTAAAATCTTCACTATTCGTGACTTAGCTCGATGTACTGTACTTGCCAAGTTGTTGAAATCTCTCGTTCGTGCCGGTCATTTATGCATTCTGCTGATTGTCAATTTTTCAGTGCAGTTACTTTGTTTTGATTGACTTCTTACAACAATTTTTACCTCGTTGCTACTTTTGAGGATGAAACGACGTAATGTTCATTCAAAATATAAGCAGGAAAATATCTTGGTGTTTGTGTATAAAATGGCGGGTCTCTAACGACTGGTAGTTTATTGTTCATTGGAAATCGAAGACAATGCACATAGTTGCATATTGAAAACATGTTTTGGTTGTGACTTTGATAATTTTTGATTGATTCGTTTTGTTGATCATCCCTTCTTCAGTTCCCTATTAATTTACTCAATGAAATCTTGAACCCTTGTCTGTTTCATTGAGCATGACCACACACATTTATTAAATATTTTGAAAAAAAAAACACAGGGCATGAAGGTGGATGCATTTGAGTCTGAACACAACAACATCATAAAAAAAAATTGACCAAAGTTGTCCAAGAAAAAACTTGCGTATCTCTTCTCACTAATTTTGAAAAATAATTCTTGTCATGTATGGACAAGAACAGGAAAATTCACCTGCAGTGCAGCCAGACAGAAATAAGAAGCAAGTGAATATGTGAAATTGAAAGCCCCTTTTTGAAACCTTTACAAACGGAAATACAAAACAATTGGCAAATTTTAAGCACAATATTGAAAACCACCTTCAAAAAATAGCTGAAACTGCAAACTTGAAACATCAACACTCTTCACGTCCCTCTTGCTCCACCTCTGCTTATGTCAAAACCAGTTGATGAATTATTTACATTTTACCTGAATTATGACAGGGTGTTATTGTGAATACTTATTTCATACTAACAATGAATATTATTATTTCGTTGGCTTACAAGACGATTCACTTAGTTGAAGTTGATTTAAGCAGAAGATTTGTGTAGTATTTAATGAAATTCGTAATCAACACAATGTTTTCCTGGCAGCTTTTCTGATTTGTCTGAGTGGAGGTCTGACCTGTCTGAAGTTCAGACTAATGTCCTTTCTAAAACAGAAATTTCAGCCCATCTTATTACTACGGTAGAACCCGGATAACTCGAACTAAGTCTAATTTCCCTTGGATTTTACCCCACTTTTCAGTCATTTCTACTCCGATAACTCAAATTCCCACTAACTCTAACTAAATTTCATTTCCCCGTGATCAAAAGTTCACTGGAATTTACCCCAATAACTCAAAATTCTGGTTCTTGTAACTCCACTTGGATGCCATCCCACTAGCTCTTCATTTTGTATAATTGGTAAAACACTAAACCTAAAATGGGTCAACCCTCATCTTAGATTTTTATTGGTACAACGAACAGATCACTTTTTATCATAAAAAATGTCTAATCATGTTAGCATTTCTGACGAAATAAGTTAGATTTGCACTGCACTATACACTGAAGAACTCAAAAATCAGTAACTAGTTATCAATTTTACATATGGCAAATTGAATTTTGCAATCGACCTGTTAACTCGAACCCTCGCTAACTCCAACTGTTTTTGTTTCCCTTCAGAGTGGTTTTTTTTAAAATAACATTTATTTGGTTACAACACTTCTAATGACAATACTTACATTTACATGGAGGGAAAATAAAAACAACATACAAGAGAGAAAGGAAAAATACAATGTTACAGCATTTACAACTAATTAAGCCTAAAAAAGTTTTACAAATTTGACTACTATTTGTAAAATTGCAAAATAAAACACGATACAACAAAAACATAAGGAGTCTGTCCTACCAACTAAAAGGTGCTTTGCATTTGCATTTGTTTCTTCCCTTCAGAGTTTGAGTTACCCCGGTTCTACTGTATGTATATTTTTTTCGTTCAAAGCTTGGATTTGAGTATGTGCTATGATTGGCCTGTTAAAAATGCCATTGTCAGTTTGCCAATCAAGTTGAAGGGAAATTTGAAATGTATTTCCAGTAATTTGTTCAGTTCGTTGGGGAACCAGAACAAGGGTATTGGCACTGCTTTGCAGATGTTACTAACTGGTATTAGATTACCTCTGTTACACAGGCTTGGTTCCATACCAATTAAACTTGTTCTCTCACCAAACCTTCTGTAACTAGTAACTGCTGCCTTTAACCCTTTGGAGCCAGCAGTTATGAGTGGCTTAAAACTTCAGGTTTAATTTGGGCAGAATTTTGTTTTGAATAATAATTATTTGTTTTAGTATTTACCAAATCAGTGAAGGGCAATTTTTGTGTGTTTTGATTGGCTCTAATATCATTGATTCTGGTGATGTGTCTTCTGTGTTCTCACCAGACAACTAGAGCAGTCAGTGACTGATAGTTACTGCTGTTGTAATGAGTTTTATTATTATTTTAGTTTTGTAAGAAAGTTTGGCTTGGTCTTTGGAACTCAGCTATGCCACCAGAGCCAGAATCTAAAGATGATCAAAAGATAAAGGACTTCATGGTGCAGAAATATGAACGAAAAAGATGGTACATTCCTCCACAGCAAGTTGCCGCTAATGATACAAGTCAGACAACACCTGAACCCAAACCTCTGAAACAACTTTTAGGAGAAAATGCACCTACAGTTTCTGTGCATGTAAGCTAAAAATGTTATTTCCCATGACAGTCAATAAGTATTTGCCCATTAGATACCCAAGAGTGACCAACATCAATTTTTTCCCAACAATGTGTCAATACATCGTCAAGAGAGTAGAATATGAGATTGATAAAGTTAACATTTTTCCATAGCTTTATGTTTTTTCTATAGAGTAATTGTAAGAAGAAATTAAATGTTGGTCACTTTTAGTGGTTTAAGCGTTTTAACAGTTTTCATGTACTGGTACCTCATGTCAAGCCAGGTCAACTTACTGCTTGTTTCGTATACAAGAATGAAGCGAAATAATCTGACATTGGCAATGACCAACAGATTCTACTTTGAAAGTAATGAATGCATTAATAGATTCTATGATTGCACATTTGACATAGCTTGACTGTTTCTTATTGGTGTTAAATTTTCTGGTCTTTCGAAGTACATGGTGACATTATTCCTCTGAATGACATTCTTGGACTGCCTAATCCCTTTTTCTACCTTGTAATGCTTAGACATTGTTTTTCAATTCTTTCAGGCACAAGCCACAAGAGAGAGACCCCGCACAGGAAGCCAAACCAGTTCATCAGCAATGCCTGTAGCAGTTGCCCCACCCCCAGGGCAGGTACAGGCTGCTCCTCAACCTGCCCCACAACCAAAGCCACCCTCAGTAGACCTGCTTGGTGACTTAGGGGGAGACCCATTTGCGCAACAACGACCACAAGGTAACATTTTTGTTAATTTTAAATTTCTAACAACTCATGGCATGAAACAGACCCTTCCATGGCTTTTTTAACTTTTGATTGGGACCAGCAAAAAACCATCAACACAGCTGCAAAGTTGAAAACTAATTAAGGCATACATAGCTTTGCAAAGCTGGGAAATTTTACAGGCATTTGTATGGTAGGGGGCAAGTTCGTGCCCCCCCCCCCCCCCCCCCCCCCCCCACCCCCTATTTTAAAAACAAAACACAATTTTTTTTTGTTTTCACTCTCTCTCCCCCTACTCTAATGTTCTTTTTTTTTTTTTTTTCTCTTCTCCCTTCCATTTTCACATTTTTTTTTTTTTTTCTATTTAATTTTGATTGGGACCAGCAAAAAACCAACCAACACACTCAAAAGTTGAAAACAAATTAAGGCAAACAATGCTTTGCAAAGCGGGGAAATTTTACAGGCCTTTTTTTGGTGGGGGGCAAATTCCGGCCCCCCCCCCCCCCACCTTACAGATCTGTAAAATTTCACAAAGCAATATATTTGCTTGCTTACTGAACCTTCCACCTTTAAGCTAGGTTATTTTCCTAATTTTAAGGCTCTCCTTCCAGCATTGTCAATAGATATTTGCTTACTGGTCTCTTTTCAAATCTTTAAAACCATGAACAGGTCTACTGCAACTAAATCAACATCAAAGCACCCAGATGTTTCACACCTTGACCAAATTGGCAACTAGAATTCTTCATCACATCTTACAACTGTACTTGGAGGCCTTGCAAATTGTTGTTCATGTTTTCCGATAAATTTTTGGTAAAAATGGCCATGTGTCCAAACGTCCTAAGAAAATCATAAAAATCCAACAAGAAATTCTCTTACTAGAACTGCCTTGGATTCCAAGTACATTATGCTATGTATGGTTCCTTCTTTATCATGCATTAAAGTGCAAAATGAAATTCAGTGTAATATAGTTTCTTGCTAGTTTGATTCTCAATTTCCTTAACCCTTTAAGTCCCGATAGTGACCAACATCAGTTTTCTCCTAATGATATCCATACAATTTCAAGAGATACAGTTATGAGAATTGATAAAATGACCACCAAAGTGAAAATGTATTGATCTTCCATAAAATTCTCTCAACACATTCTTTCACAAAATGCATGGAGGTCAGTTTGGAGAATTTGTATGTGTATATTGGGGCTTAACGGGTCAATTGTCTTCCTACCCTAATAATATCAATAATGATGTAATAAATTAGGTTCAGGAGACTAAGGACTAAGGACTAAGGATATTGAAACCATTTTCACCAGACATGAATTTCAAACTACAACATATGTGTCTTTTTTAGTTAAAATGTAAAGTCACTTCAGAAAGGTTGCTTTGTCCAATCACAAATAAAAAGATTACATACAGTACTTCTGTTTTGGATTGTGTTTAATATCATTGTAGTGCATCAACATGGCAAAAGCCGTAAACTATGGCCAAGAAGTGCTGGTCAATTGACTCCTTTTTACCTTCAAAAATCACTCTTTCACTTGTAGGTCAGTTTGGACCACCTCCCCAGCAAGGTAACTTTGCTTCGTTCAATGCGTTTGGAGCACAACCAGCGGCTCCTGTTCAGAATACCTTTGACCCGTTTGGGTCATCAGTGCCCCAGCCTGTCCAGCAACAATCACAGCCGAGTTTTGCAGCATTTGGTACTCCACCCCAACAGCCACAACAACAACCTGCGGCACAACCACAACAGCAGGCTAATTTCTTTGATGCTTTTGGGTCTCCACCAGCTTCTTCAGGAGGACTTAATGCATTCGTAGCCCCAACATCGTCAGGTAAGATCCATTTCTTCTGTGCAGTGGAATCCTGATTTTTCAGACCTCCTTGACTCCTTGAGGTTAAAATCCTCAGCTCCAGTTCTTCCTTTGTATGAAGACCATACTTGGTTGTATTTGCGTGAGGGATAACTACTCTACATTTGCCCCATAAAGTGTTGACTTTTCTTGTGACCATAAGTTGTCAGAAGGAAAAAGGAGTACCAGATACACTATTAGAATTGATATGAATGGTCATCATCTAGAATAAAATTTACTCTTTTCTCCCTTCAAAGGTGTTGTATCTTTGAAGAGTAACAGCCAAACATACACAATGAGAAAAATAGTGAAGGTCACATGGGGGTGTCCTTCCCCCAAAAAACCAACCATCTTTCTTTTTTATCATTTTTTTTGCAGCTCCCACACAAGCACCACCAGCTTCTAATTCTGGGTTTGGGCCACTTGTATCAGCGTCTGGAAGCTCAGCAGCTGCTAGCGACAAGTATGCAGCATTGACTGAACTAGATAGCTTGTTTGGCACGTCCTCAAGTAGTAGTAACACTAGTTTTAGCTCTGGAACAGGCTTTGGTTCCTCTGGGACTTCAACATTCGGAATGTCAAGTGGACCTAACCCGTTTTCGAGCGCAACATCAAGCGTTGGGTCTGGAGGGTTTCAGTCCCAGCAGACATCCAATCCTTTTCAGGGTCTCGGTGGAACGCTTAATGGTCCTACAAGAAGTATGAGTCCTGCCAGTAGCATAGCGGCTACAAGTGGTAGTGGGTTTGGAAGTTTCAGCACCGCCCAGCCAACAGTTTCTGCATTTGGTAGTCAGCCAGTAAGTTCAGGATTTGGGAACCAGCTGTCCAACACAGGTTTTGGTGGTGGCCAACCTAGTGGAGGGTTTGGAAGCCTTACATCTTCCCAGCAGTCATCATTTGGTGGACCTCAACAGTCTGGCTGGGGAGGCATGACGAGCCAACAGCAAATGGGAGGTGGTCAAAATATGGGGATGCCCCCATCATCTGCTCAACAGAATCTTAGCTTTGGAGGTGCAGGCATGACAGCGATGGCATGGAACCAATTCGGAAAAATGGGAGGCGGTCAGCAGCAACAACAACAACAACCTCAAATGCGAGGTCAAATGAACTTTGGTGGTAACCAACCTGGCTTTGGTAGTAACCAAGGATTTGGGAGTGGACAGCCGAGTTCTGGGTTTGGGGGTATGCAGCCTATGTCTGGGTTTGGGGCATCTACAGGTTCATTTGGAGCTAATCCAATGTCAGGCGGAAGTGGTTTTGGTGGCCAACAACAAAATACTGGATTTGGAATCCCTGGTGGATTTGGTGCACAGCCAAATGCATTTGGTGGAGGAATGGCTGGAATGGGGGGTGCGCAGTTTGGGCAACAACAGCAGATTCAACAATTTGGAAGTTGGCAGCAAAGTCAACAGGCCAATCCATTCATGGTAAGTGCATTGGGCAGCTAGTAGTTCTTTTAAACCATACAGTAATTATGATCAAGACTTCATTGAATACACAGAAGTTTACAATAATATTGTCACCCCACAATTCTAATCTCCATGTTGCTATTACACATGCTTGGCATGTAT